GTGTTGTTTAATCCATCAAACACCAAAAACCTTCACCTTACCCCGTTTATACACTAGGAAATTTGAACATCTATGTTCAAACCACCAGGGTCACCGTGCCTAAGTCAAGTGTTTCAGTTCAAAGTGTAACTAAACCCCACTGTGAAAGCATAGCCCCCCCCAGACAATTTGTTAAAAATCCCACCAGTGGGCGGAGCCAATATATGCAAAGGGGCGTGGCCAGGTGTAGGGATAAGCAGAGAAGGACACTGGATCAAATTAGCAACTTTGGCACTATATTAGCGACTTCTCAAACCCCTCTTGCATGAAATTTTTTAAAAAGCCAATTACTTTTTGTATTCAAGAAAATCAACTGGCGAAAACTCTAGCAACTTTTTTCTGTTATTGGAGACTTGAATGGTGACATGTGAAGCACCAATCAGCTCATTATTCCAACTCCTGACTCACCAGCAGGGGGCGTGTGTTGGCGTGAAATGGTTTTAAATCTGAACCGGGGCTGTGTGACACATAGACATCTACCAACTGCAGTAGCCACTGTTCAACCCAAAGGGGGCAGCACTGAGACAGTTTTAGGCAAAATATTACAGAATTTCACAAATTTAAAAGAAATTTTCACAACATGAACAGCAACATAAAGACAGAACCCATTCATACGGTTTATCTTTAAAAAATGTTAGTTTGGGGTTCAGTTAATCTTTAACAAGGACATTATATGTAAAATTATCCAGGAATCTGAGTAGTCAGTAATCCAGACGTCTCTAGCCAATTTATTATTTTATTACAATTAAGGTCAATTGCAGAAAGATGTGCTTACACCTTAAGCACATCTTCCACCCTTGTTTTCTATCGTAATAAAGGAATCTGGCGACATTTCCCTGGGCTCAGCAGGCCATGACTGATGCCAGATGGCCAAATCCTCGTGTGTTTGGATCAAAACCTTTAGGTCAACAAACACATCCTGATTGTTTATTTATATAGTCAAATGGTTTAGTAATATTGATTCAGATCTTTTCGACTTTTTTTATCTGATCTGAAAAGTGTCTATGCATTTAGAACAAATTCCTTGCAAAGTAAAACCTTAGATCCGTCAGCTGTTCCCTGGTGACGTACCTCCACCCAGTTTCCATCCACTTCGTGGAAGAGAACGCAAAACGGGTCCGATTTGGAGGCTACGTCTCGATCCAGCAGGTTGGACGCAGTGACAGAGAGCTCGACTCGAGTGACGCAGTGCTGCGGTCCGATGGAGCGGGTCCGACCGTCTGCTGCCACGCCCAGTGTGTAGGCCATGATCTGAGGTCACAGGAGGGCAACCTGGACAACATGAGAGTTTATTTCATTTTGACTGAAACATACCAACATAATGAAAACTAAAACTCATGCACACTTATGATGACTGTATTGGTCTCAGTTCTTCTGTGTAAAAACATTTCTGAGTATCTCTGACATCAATCCACACCTTCAACTAAAAGATGACGGTCCACCGCAGTAGGCCGGGCTTTTGACCCCATGAGGCCTAAAGGTCATGAAAAGGTCCTAAAGAGGTACAACCACATAAACACACATAACCATTCAATGTCAGCCGCCAAAACAAAGAAGTTAATGTAAAAACGCTTTTCTAGAATCTTAAAAAAGTTCCTCTCATGAGAAATAAAAGTGACTGAATTCTGCCGCAGCTTTTTGAACAAACAGCTCCCTCTGTGTCCATGAAGGCGGTTTTGTTCTCATGGCGGCACGCTGAAAGGATGCGGTCTGTTGCTAAGATACTAATGTGTCACAACCTGCTCTCCTCTGCCTCACTCCTGTGATGTCACACTGGAGGTTGTGATGATGAAGATGAAAATAACAGGGTCTTCACTCGCTCTACTCACTCACTTATTGTTCAGAGCTTTAGTGGTTTCGTTTATTCACACCTGCTGGTTCCTTCTTGTGCTTTGACTGAGGAATCTGGACCAAATCTGACTCCGTGCATCACATTGCTGTCAAAAGAAGCTGGGAAATCTGAAAATGTGGAGATTCTCTCCAAGTTTAGTGTCTTCTGAAAACACGAAGCTGTATAGCATCCCTCCAGTGGAAAGACACTCTCATCCCAGTCACACTTCCTGTCAGTCACACAGAAGGGGAAACCAGAGAGAGGGCAGGTTGTTACCTGCTTCCAGGCACAGTGACCTCTGCACACACTCATCAGGTCTAATTACATGTCCTGCCTGCTGCATTTGGAGACACAGACGTCAAGCTGAGTTCAGATATAAACAACAATCATACTAAGATGACTGCTGATCTAAACTCACACTAGGTTATAAACGTTGCTCAGAATCGCGTTTTTCCAGTTTCTACACGCAAGATTTCCCTCAGCATATCACAGCTGCCCCCTCATCCTTCCGCCTGTCACCTCTCTAACCCGCAGTCTGAATGCACCTTTAGTTGCAGGTCATTTTGCGCACACATCATGCGCGTTAAAAACGACCTGGTCTCAGATCAACGAAGAGAAATAAACAGACTCACCTCAGAGAATGATGAGCAACTTCTCAAGCGTTTTCCACTTCACCGCTTTTTTATGACTATTTCCCCCAACGAGGAAGGAAAACAAACATAAAACTCTAAGTCACTTCTTCTTCTTCTTCTTCTTCTTGTCTAAAGACGGGTGAAAACTGGAGTTGACATTTTGACCTGCGGTGGATTATCCGGGGAGGCGCAACAGTGTGTGAGCGGAAATCATCCTCGGAGCGCGGCTGAATGTTTCTGGCAGCAGCGACGGACGGAGAACCTTCAAGCTCGCGACAATAAGGTCTAACCGGATATAGAGTTGTTTCTCTTTCAAAATAAAAGGTCAGAGCCAGGAAACACGCTGGAGTCAATAAAATATTATCTCATTTGCACTCCGAAGCAAGTTTAGTATTGCTTTCATGTGCTGTCATTTGTTTGCAACATGAGTGGCCCACATAGTTCCAATAAAACGTTCCTTTGGACTCTTTATTGTTTTTATAAATCAATTGTGATTTTGCTTTTTTAGCTAGAAAAATTACACAAAAAACACTTTCATATCAAGGGCAAAACTAATTTCTAACTAATTGGCAATTAAATATAAATATAGAACATAAGTTATTGCACAATTATTCAACCCTTTAAAGTGACAAATCAACAGAGGTCCAGTCAACATTTGTCCAGAAGTGCACTCCCCTTTTCTGGAGGAACCGAACCTCCATCAACATTGCTGGATTCATTATTGCTTACGTGCATCATCATTCCTAATGGTTAGCAATGGTTATAGAGATTGGACGTTGGACCAAATCATGGTCCATCGTTGTCAGTGGGGAATATGCAATCCAGACAGACGGACAACCAAGAGAAGTTAGTGGACAAAATACAATAAACCAAGGCCTGCTGGTGACTTCAAGTCCAAACTACCATTTGTTTGTCTGCATGAAGGTAACTGTAGCAAACATCTAATTTTTTGTCATAACAACACTTATTGATGGTCAAATAAAAGATCAATAATTGAAGGTAGTCATGCTTGATTTTTGTGTGTAAATTAGCTGAAAACATGTGCTGCAGTAACTGCGGTATTAACATTTAAGCACCTTTTTATGTTGTTTATTTTTAAGCATTTTCTTGAAGGCAGATTTTTGTAAAATTGTATTTCAGGGGTGTCAAACTCCAGTCCTCAAGGGCCGCTGTCCTGCAACTTTTAGATGTGCCTCTGCTGCACCACACCTGAAAAGAATAATTAGGTCATTAGCAAGGCTCAGGAGAACCGATCTACACAGGGAGGAGGTAATTAAGCCATTTCAATCCACTGTTTTTTACCTGTGGCACATCTAAACACTGCAGGACAGCGGCCCTTGAGGACTGGAGTTTGACACCCCTGAAGTCATTACTCACCCGTTTTGTACGTGCAAAATGTGTCTGACACATTTGTCAGTCATTATTCGTTGGAGGTTTGCTCTCCTTCGCAAGGGGGCGGAGCCTGCATCAGGTGGTACAAGGAGTCTCACAATGACAGGAACGGAGTCTCCGGTGATTGTAGCACCTGATTCGGTAAGATTGAATCAATTTTCACTTTAATTTTTTTTCATTATTTTTTTTAGTTAGTCAAAAAGCCACATTTTGTTGATCATGCTCGATTTGTAAAAGTAATAAAATTGTAAAAACATATAACGGGTGAATACTTTCTATAAGCACTTAATACTAATGTCTGATTTGTAGCTTTTGATTCAATGAAAGGACAATTTCAGGCTTTTCTTAAAGGTGTCTAAACAGCAATTATTTGAAATCATAAATTTTCACACTGAAAAGACAATTTTTAAAAAACACAGTATGACATCTTTGTTTTGGGGGAAAACACTATTTTCAAGGCTTTGACTAATTGAGACAAGAATAAAACCTCGTTTATGTATGTTTATGCGATTCTTTGGTGCATAAAACTGGTTAGTTGATTTTTAACGGAGTATTCATGTTTGCTTGTCTAATATTCTTAGGTGGAGAAATAAATAGCAGAAGACGGAACAGCTGCACATGTAAAAAAAAAAAGACTAACGAAAAAAACCCTCCACTACCAATACTGTCAGCAGATGGCGGTATTAAACCCCGAAAACATCTCAAAATATTCTAAATAGTTTATATTTCTCTTTACTTTCCTTCTAACACAAAGTTTCTGTCATGTTTATGTTTAAGAGCAGAAATATTGTTTTGCTTCAGGCATTTTTGGTGCGTTTGGATCCTAAACATAAATATGTTAAACTTCAGATTTATCATAAACGTGAAAGCCTCATCGAAACCTTTTATTCTAGCAGAAAGACTTTCAGTATTCAAATTGCCGCATGAACTGAAAACAAAATACATTATTATTGCGACCGATCGCAACATTGTGCTGGAATGCAGTGAAAAAGAGAGATCTGTAGCACCTTTAGTAACCACAAGAGGGAGCCATGTGCTCTTAAAGATGCTTTTCTTCAGCTACAGCAGTTCCTGTCAAATTTACAAAAACAAAAAGGCTCAACTTTTTACAAGAAACACACAGTAAAAAAAACTTTATTTCTATCAAGGATCTTCAGTTAAACTGACGGTGCTGGCAAGGAAAGAGTCATTTTTTACAACTAGTGCATCAGTACTCATGTAAACAACAAACAGCAAATAAAAGTAAAGGGAAGACATTTTAAAAAATTGTTGCGCTGCAGCAAGATAACATCTTTTGTCTTTAAGATGACAGAAATGGCATCAAACAGAACACAATTTGTAAATTAAACAAACAGGAAAATGAACAAACCATGTTTTCACTGAGAATTTCAAGCAGAGGAAAGTTTGTGAGAACCTAAATATCAACCTGAATAGAAATCTTAAAAAGCACTCTTGGTTTCACCAGTGATTTTCACAATAAGGTGCATTTATTCCAGAACCAAGTCTGGTGTCTTTTTATCAACAAATCTTTAAACAGAAAGTAGAACCAGATTAAAACTGCTTCAAACATAAATAACAAAATACATAAAGCTGCACTTTTCTTTCCATCAAAGAGCAAAAATAAATATGTATTCTGACAGAGACCACAACCTTTAATGATGATTACAGGAGGAACCTCCTGTTTACTGCAGATTCTTGACTTATTGTGGTTTTTTTCACATATGTGGCCTCTGTGTCAGTGCAAAGTGACTCATTAAATCAGAGTCTCCAGAAATACAACACATAAAAGGTGGCCTTTAGTTTCACAGCAGAAACTTTGTGACAAGAAATAAAAATTATGAGCTGATTAGAGTTTTGCCCAACCCTTACTGAGATCGGAAGACACTTCATATCATCTATGTGATTTCCTAAAGTATATTTAAATAAAAAAGTTGGATTTTATGTCATTTTTGTTAGTTTGGACCCGCATGCAATTTTCTCTTGTGAAACTAAGCTAAAAAACTCAGATGTCTCATGTTAAACTATGTACATTTTCGAATAAAACATCTGCAAACATGATATTGCAAATAAATATACTTGTTTGCTAATCCCATTAGGTGGAGGAAAACTTCAGCCTCCTCTCCATCTGGCTGAACCTGTAAGCTTCATTCGGGGAGACTTTATTCTTCCACAACCTGAAGGAAAGAAAATACGTTGAAATGAATGTTCAGACATTGTCAAACTAAGATGAAAAGCTTCCAGGTGAGGTAAAGAAGTAAAGATTTGTCCTGGGAACGTTTACCTGATGACCTGCAGAGCAGGGCAGCACCGTAGAGCTCTGACCAGAGCCTCCACGCCGGCGGCGCTCACACTGTTGCACTCCAGGCTGAAGGAAACGGGCACAGAAACATTAAAGTCCTCAAAACACATGAACAGTTTTCACTGAACACAACTAAACACCAAACACTGCAAAAATATAAAATTGTATTTTTGGTCCAGTTTCTAACTTGAAATTAAGGATGCAGCAATTGACATTTTTCACTTCTGATATCTGAGGTTTAATATCGCCTGAAACCGATCCGATACAGAAAAACAGCTAAATTGACTTAAAATGTTTCTTTAAAAAAAACAACAAAAAAAAACACAAACAAAAATGTACTAAATTACAAATTTTATTTCTATCTCTGCTCCAGTACAGCTCTCTTAAATACACCAGTAGCCTCACAGGTTTGGTCAAACATATGAAAACAACTTTCATTTGTTCAGTCAGTGCAATTAGGAGAATAAAAGCCACTGTAAAATAAATAATAAAGAAACTGAAACTGACAAGAACAATAAATAGACTATCTTGGTCAAACATGTAAAAAACCTCCTTTCAAAAGGTTCAGAAAATGAAATGAGGAATTCTATTCTATAAGATTAATTCACTTATGGGACAATGTCTTGTTTTAAGTGAAATAATTTGCCAGAAAAACTAGAACTTTTATGTATCAATGTTAAAGAATTACTGACCTAAAACAACTTTCTATATCTTGCTGAAAACTTAGTTTCAAGTTAGTTTTGTCTTATTTCAAGTGTATTAAGATACTTGCACTAGACAAAAAGTATTGCATACTCCACATTTACTTTTACTTTAGACATAATATGACACATGTCTCTGATGTTTTAGTTTCAGTCATATTTGTGTTTATGTGTTAAATTAAACTCACTCAATGCGAGTCAGATCGTGGCAAACAGGCAGAACTTTGGCCAGCTCCAGCGCCACGTCGTCTCCACAGTTATTCCACCCAAAGCTGAAAAAAGCATAAAATAATCAGTGTGTGAAATTATTGTCAGTCACACAGACAAGTCAGCTTAGGTGAAGGAATCAGTTTGACTGCAGGTTAGCTCTTTGGATCCAAGTGAAGAAATTCAGATCAAATCCAAACATTTTTACTGTGAATGTTTCCTGTTAGTTCAATGTGTTAAATAGTTTCTTCTTTTACCCCACATCCTGTATGAAGGGACAGTGGCTCAGACTGGCAGCGACAGCGCTCAGCTCTGAGTTTCTCACGGAGGTCAGGCTGCAACAACAAAAGAAAAGCAGAAACAAACAATCAATGCCTCCTTCAACGCAGCTGAAATCAGATTCCTGAACTATCAGAACCTACTGGATCTTTCTGAGGTTCTTCAGGCTCATTATCGCTCTGGACAGACTGAGCAAGCCCTCATTTCCGACAGAGTTCTCTGAAATACTAAATAAGAAGCAGATATTGTAGAGATTCTGAGATTATTTTCTTACTGGAGCTCCTCCAGATGCCTGCAGCCACTCAGAGCCTCCAGCAGCTTCTCTCCCGAAGGATCACTCACAAGATTCTTGGAGAGACTGGAGAAGAAAACAATTATTAAAAACGATACTGAATCAGTTTGTTTGGTTTTAACATTTACAGAGCAAGTGAGACAAAATGCACTTTTTGGTTTAAGCGCCAGCTGACATCCGGAAAAAGGCTAACCAGATCTGATGACTTCATCCTCAAAGAGAAAATGTGAAATTTTTCCAGGAATAATTTGGAGTTCTGCTCCACAGAAACAATCAGAGAATACTGAACCGTGAATAGACATTTTCCAGTTATTGTAACTGGTTATTATCTCCCTCTGTTTATGTGTTATACTGTTTAGTTGTTAGACTAAAATAATGTGGAGTGGATTATATTTGTTTGTTTCGATGGTTTCAAAATGAATGTCAGAATCGGCTGCTTTGATATTTGAAATATTTACTTTTGTGAGAGCATTGCAAAAACAGAAAACCTTGCCAAGTAATTTAGTCTAGTTTCTAGTGAATACAGACAAAATTAACTTAATAACTTTTCACCAAGAAACAAGAACAAAAAGTTTTAGTTCCACTAGATTATTTCACTTATAACTAATGCTTTTATATTAAGGAATATTAGTCATATCTAATTTAAAGTTTACTACAATATTTGCACAAGTAAGTCGACCAAAAATACTTTGTAAGATTTTGTTTTTGCAGTGTAGGGGGTTCTTAAAGAGACAGAGGCCAATTTCAAGGTGACAAATATAAAGTCAAATTTCTTTAAAGCTGTTTTTGAAATATACAGCATTTTAAAAACAACTGAAGATAAAATAGCTACTTAATTAAGTTATAAAATGGCACTTTGTGGCATTTTGCACACTCGACTTTTTGTCAGGACGTAAATATGAGAAAATTTGAAATATTTTGAAATGTATACATCCAGAGTCAGAATCTGAGTGAAGAGCCCGTCTCACTTAATGCATGTACTTTACATGCTCTCCCAGTGTTAGCTTAAACTGGTGCATATTGTTGCGAGAGGAGCAATGCTGCATGGATGAGTGTGTGTAGAAGACGGACGGTGGTTTCATTACCTGATCGTCCTGAGATCTTTCCAACCAGGAAGGATTCCCGTTAGCTTCTGTATCCCCCCATCACCCATCCTCCAGCCACCCAACCTGAAAATAAAGATGAATTCAGATTTTTTTCCCTGGAAGACAGACACAGATTAATCAAAACGAGTTTCTGTGAGGGAAACAAACTCACTGCATCTCCTGTATCAGGTTGAGTTCTTGCATCCCGGCCAGCAGGTCCAGAACAACGTCGGCTTCTGGTTGTCCTGAACTTTTTACAATTTCATCCAGCCTTTTACAAACAGACATACATTTATTTAACTCACACTTGAAATTACTTTTCATCATCGCAGCCCTTCAAATGACAGTTTCAGGCAGGCGACCCGAATGTTCAGCTGTTAGTTTTTGTGTAATTTGTTTGTCTTCTAATGTAACAAAATTATTCCATATTTTTACCTACATAATTTCAGCAAAACATTGATGAGCAAAATCATAATTTAAATTATTATCCCCACTTTCCCAACTCCTTTTCTTCACCAAAACACTTTTCTCATCATTCACAGTGAGTTTCAGCATCAGCCTCAATGCTTGACCCTTAAAATATAACATTCAGTTAATGTGATTAGAATAATGCACACACATTTTGATGATGACTGTGATTTAGTTTTATTGTGCCACTTTATATTAGATGCACAGATCTGGAATTTGTTTGTAACTTGGGGCGCATTTCATATGCTGTGTGACAGATGACACTTAGCTAAGTGAAATTACTTAGAGGAAAAAGATCCAACAAAATGTCTGAAGCTACTTAAAGACCAAACTTTGCAGGATGTGATCAATTTTATAACTAATAGATCAAATATATTGAATGAAGATTTAAAAGTATTTATTAGAGTCACATAAAATGTTTCTGGTCAGGAAAACTAATCTATTCTGTGATTTGGTGCATTTTATGTTATTATTTTCACGGTATAGAGATTTGTATTAAACTTTTCATGTTTTATTAGGTCAAACTTTCCTATGCAGGTTCTGGTCTAATAAAACAGCTCAGATAGAAGAAACTTTGACTCACTTGAGAATCTGTAAAGATCTCATGTTCCTCAGAGTTTGTGCCAAACTTCTGCAGCAGTTTTCATTCAGCTGCATCGCTGCATCCAGACTAAGAAACAATGAATCAAAAACACATAAATACAAACATTTGACTTTTAAATGGAGTCGAGAACATTTGATCAACTGAGGTTTTACCAAAGTTCTTCCAAAGCGGCGCTGTCCTTCAACGTCTCGATAAACTGCAGCCGTCCAGCTGCTGACCAAACGCAATGCGACGAACTGAGAAGGAAAACAAATACGCTGCTGCATGACAGATCATAAATACAACGATAAGCTGAAGAACAGACTATTCTCAGCTCTTCATATTAACTGATGAGCTTACTTGAACGATCGAAGGCGTGGCAACAGTCTGGTCAAAGTCTGAGCCGCCGCGTCACTTATGAGGACGCCGGACAAGCTAGAGGAGAGAGAAAATGAGGTTAAAATAACATTTACAGTTATAATTAAATGAAAGTTTTAGAGTTTAATGTGTTAAACGGGACATCTTCTCCAAAATGTAATTTTTTTGTGCACTTATTCTTCCATTTGAGTCTTAACTGCTTCAAAGAACAAATCAAAAGATTTACAGAACGGTGTCTGTTGGATACGTGGAACCAAACTGTAGCGGCAGCTTGAGACATTTATGCAAATAAAAGTCTGCAAAGTGCAATGTCAAAAAACTAAAATAACAATGAAAAGAAGATGTGAAGCTAACAAAACAGCGAGAAATGAGAAAACTGTTTTTTAAAGATGTTTTAATCATGCAGTTTATATTCATTTCCACTGTTGCTTCATTTATTTTCTCTTTTTTTTAAATAATGTGACATGATGAAATTATGTTGTGTGTTGCTGGTTTTCCACAGTTGCATTTATCTCCATTTTCTTTTCTTTTTTAGTGCAGGAAACATAAAAAACTAAAAGAACCTGTATTTTCTTTACAGTAATCGGTGCAATGAGAAAATGTTTAATAAATTAAACTTGTGTTTTGTTGCTCACTGTAAACTCTGAATGGACGTAGAGCTCAGGATGACGTGTAAGAGCTCCTCAGCCGCAGTGCCGACTTTGACTCCAACACTGCAGAGGACAACAGGAAGTGATCGTCACGCAGGAAAATCAAAACACCCGATGTTAAAGAAAATGGTGAAAATATTCACCTGAGAGACGAGAGATTTGGCAACGAGGGCAGAAGAGAGCAGAGTAACCTGGCTCCTTCCACGCTGCTGTTGGAGACACTAAAACAGAACAAATATATTTTTAGGTTAAAAACTAAGGAGAGGATAAAGATTTTAATGCTCTACGGGGAAAAAAGCTCCAAAAAGATGCTTGAATCAAAATGTTCACATGCCAAAATCTTAGGGGTCAAAAATATACTGTAAAAAAAACAAACACGTCCAATTTACAGTAAAATACAGCAGCTGTGGTTGCCAGAATTTTATCGTACAAATACGGTAAAATTCAGAGTTGATCGTTATCTTGGTGGCAAAATATTTGCAGGAATAATTTTCATTTTTCTCATCTGTAACTTACCTTATATTTTTAATCGCTGACTGAGCTGAAAATGCAACATCACTGGTGGGAAAAAAGAAAAGACAACTTAATCTCTCAATGTTTTCACAAAAAATAAAACTTGATCAGAAGAATCAATCAGCACAGCGACAGAAAAAATAAATCGATGTTGGTGTTTATGTGATTTAAACTGAGATATAATGTGTTAAAATTACAGAAAATGTTCAACGAGGACTGAAAATATAAAATCTTACCAAGTCTTTTCTCTTGAAATAAATTAGAAGTGACTTTTCAGCGAAACAGGTAAGCTCGTAAGTAAATAATTCCTCAATATTGATCAAAAAAGTAATAGTTTTTCCAATTATGACATGGGAAAAATGTTGACATACTGGATCTAAACTGGTAGTTTTATTAATAACTGCCATAAGTAATTATTAATTTAAGTAGCAAATTTGGCTCTTATTAAAGCACAACAGTGTGATAACATTTAGGAAATAATACTTGAGTTCCCTAAAGTTCCTCTAATAATCTGTAAAAGTTTTATGTGTGTCAAAGGGACATAAAGCGGATGTGTGTGAAGTTGACGGGTTTCTCCTGAGTCGGTACCTGTCCATGTTGTCCGTCAGAACCAGCTGTAGTGTGGTGCCATCAATCCTGAAAAACAAAGTCAGTCACATTCATGACTTCCTTCCTGAACGTCCCGCAGTGACTTCAGGGTTTGTCTGGAGTCTCTGTTCACCTGACGGTTTGGACGGGTTTGTTGAGCTGCAGACAGCGGCGCAGTAAAGACGCAGCCTCATCGTCGCCGATCCAACGTTCTTCAACACTGATGGAGAAAAGAGAAGAGGAGCAGCAGGTCATCATACAGCGAGTCAGCGGTTTCATGAAACCACTGCTTGTTTAGCACCTGAACCTAACTGAGGAAACAAAAACAAAAAAAACGGTTGATTTTGGTGAAATAAATAAAAAGAATCTCACCTGATGGTACATCCTGTCAGATTAACGTTTAAAGCTGTCACAAAGTTTTCAATCCACTCAGATTGCAGCATGTTGTTCTTTAATCTGTGCAGCAATAAAAACATAAATTAATTGGTTATTTTATCAGATTTTATATCTAAATACTAAATAAACATAAATTAGTAATTCAAGAAAATTTCTATGATTTATATTTTTATTTTTTAGCTCTTGAAAACATGCAGGATGAAATACATTTTCTGGAAATAATTCACAAATCTAAAATCAGACTTTAATTGATATTTTTTCTCATGCTTTCTTTTCTTAAAAATAAATTACAAATGAAAGAAAATACTTTTTTAAAAAGTCTCTTCTATGAACTATGGAAACCAAAGTAAAAAAAAAATCAGATTTTCCAAAAGTTAAGTCTTCAAAAACACAACATTTTATTAATCAACAAAAATTCTTGGAATGTGTTATTAGACCTCCAAAATGTTTAAGACTGAATCTTACTTACTCCACTTTGGTCAAACTCAGACAGTCTGAGACAATATTTGCTAATCTGAGCAGATGATCACATTGCAGCCTGCTGTCTCTGACACTGGAAGACAGAAGAACGAGCAAAGAAACAATACTTATTTCTAAAAGGTATTTATTTAATTTTATTTATGTTACTTGGTAGTGTTAACTGTTAACCAGCTCTCTCCAGAAGTCGGGTCAAAGTCTGGTCAGAATTTCTTGTTAAAGGCAACAAAGAGTCTGTGGTTGAAGAGCAACTTGATAAGAGTCATTTAACCAAATGTTAGTGGGTTTATGAGTAGATTTGAAGCTGTACTTATTAAAACAATCATTCATGCTGCATGTTTCATTCATTCCACCTGAAAATGTTCTTAAAAACTACAAAAAAACAATAAAAGAAACTGATGCAATTAACACCCAGAGTGAGGAGGAATCTGCAGCATTTATAGGAACACTTCCCTTCTGATCGTTCAAAGTTATGTTGGACTGCACACTGTGAATCCCTTTGTTGCATAAATACAGAATATGACTGAACTGCTGTGAAAGACTCGTAATTTAACCTGATTTCTCAGAAGTTTCTGTGAGTCATCCAGACATGTCGATGCAGTTTGCTGCAGACAGCAGGCCGTTTTTTAACCAGTAAAGGTGTGTCTTGATCTTTATCCCAGTTCTTAAACAAGCCTTCTAAAGAAATTATTAATTTTCTCAACAAATACAACTTGAGTCTGTCTGCTATGTTTGCATCTGCTGCTGTTTAACTTTAACCGTTTCCAATCTGTTCTCCGTTGCAATAACAACTGGATGATAAGCTTTTATAATTTTTACTTTTTTTCGTCTCTTTTCTCACCTCAGAGTTTTTTCTCCTCCTTTTTGTCTAAACCAGATCAGACACCTTTCGTCTTCTCCCAAACTAGCAGAAAACACAACAGAGTTATGAGGAAAAGGGGCATTTTCTTTTCTGCTGTGATTGTTTGGCAGAGATTTACCTGACTTCCACAGCAGAAACATTAGTGCAGGTACACAGTGCTGTGGCTACATGCAGCGCCCCCTGCTGGCTCAGTCCGTTCTTACTCAGACTGAAAATAAAGATTAAAGGTCAGAGAGTTGTACTGAACACAACAGCAATGCTTCAAGTTGCAACAAAATGACAAATGTTTATTACTTGATGAAGCTGCTGACTCTGATATTTGGAAGAGACTTCAATAAACATCTCACTCCTTCGTCTTCCAGCTGGTTTCCTGATAAACTACAGCAGAAAAAGCATTAAATAAGTTCATTTAAACGAGCAAGAAGGGTCAAAATTACATTGTAGTTTTGTGGCTGTGGTTTTGAGATGAGTTGTGGTTCGTACTCGAGATAAGAGAGCTGGCGGCTCTGCTGCAGGATCTGGTTCAATCTGTCCAACAAAACAAAGTTTTCTTCTTTGAAAGAAAAATCAGTTAACCTGGAAACAGAAACAGATTGATCAGTTTTTATCTTTCATCCAAATAAAATACATTACACCTCATAAGCCCCACAGGATTTTCTGAACTATGTTTAAAATAACAAATCAAATTAATTTCATACAAAATACAACAATTACAAGCTTTATTTCAATAATCTTGGTATCAAAATAAAGTATCACAGCAGCTGCTATAGAACATAAAGTAATTTGGATTTTTCTTTTTTTTTTGTCCCTTGCCAGAATTTTTTTGCATTATACAGAATATAAACCTTCTAGAAACATCATAAATGAGACTACAAGCCTTTGGAAACCATAGATCCACATTACCTGTGCAAAGATTGATGTAGCTGACATATATATTTTTTTTAAATTACAGATGTCTTAGTAAAAAATAATAGGTGTTTTCCCTTGGCACAGACTGGCATCATCTACAAAACTGGAGATTTGCTGTGTTTTTACTAACTAAACTTACTTTTACATGTCTAAAATTGCTTCTTTTTGTTTTTCTGTTTTAAAATACAAACATTTATTTATTTTTTCTACCTAATAAAAAAACGATACTGGGAGTAATATGAGATATTTGTAGGAAAATGGGAGCACAGCAGGAAAGGGGAGTAAGAAACAGTAGACTTGACAGGTATGAAAGATAAAATAGAATCACCAAAAATATATGCTTTTTTGGCACTATCAGAGTTCCATACAATGTCTTTTTGTTTCCTGCCTGGTCACTGACATCTGTGATGCAGCCTAGAGGAAAAACTCAAATCCTTCCTGCTCAACTCACACTCACATTTTATCAGCTCCTGGAGTCTGATGTGAACATGGATACCAAACATGGACATGTTTAACTGAAGGGAGGTGCAGCAATGAGTGCAGGACTTTCAAAATAAACTGGATACTACTTCCTGTTTAAACCAAGTGAGTGCAGGACAGTTTCACACACACGCAAACGCACACACACACAAATGCATACACACACACACACGCGCAAACGCACACACACACAAACGCATACACACACACACACACACATACAGCAGCAGGGGAATGAAAAGTGAAACCAGACGAAGATGAATCTACAGTTATAACGAGTTAATCAGAAAACCGAAATAAAAGCGTTTAGAGAAGTTTACGGCTGCGGTTCACACACCTGCAGTTGACTTGTTCTGCTTTAACTCCAGCAAAATGAATGAAGGATTCGCCCTGTGGACTACAGAGTCACAAGCAATAATGAACTAAATGGCATCAATGACACAATTTTTAAAAAAGTCTTTAAATATTACGCATAAAAATATAAAAACACTTTCATCCATTGTCTCCTTGGAGACATGTTGAAGCAATACCTGAGCTCCACGGATGAGACTCGATGGTTTTCAGGGAAACAGCTGATCAGCGTTAACGCATCACAAGTGGACTGGATGCTGTTACTAACACTAAGAACAAAGGAAGAGCAATTAATTAGCCACAAAGCTACAGATAAAGATACTTTGATAAATATTTATCTAAAACTTATTACAGCAGGTAAAACCAACAGTAACGTTACATGTGACTTAAATGAAACAAGTAGGAAGAAGCTTAGCTTTGTATTCTCTGGTATTTTGTCATATTACACATTAATCTCCACAAACATGCAATTAAAAAAGACAAAAATACATATGAGAAAGTTTTGGTTTGTTTTTTAATTTTTAACATTATGTCAATAATCTGTTGATTCACATTCAACAAAGTTCTTGCAAATAATAATTCTAGTTAATTCTGTTGCAAAATAATAAAAACCTAAAAAATAAAAAAAATTTAAAAAAAACACCTTTGGACCTTATTCGGTGTTTACTGATGCTTTTATGTTTTGGGGGTTTGGGGTTTTTATGTGTAAAACAGGAAACAGGAACTTTTTCTACCCGGTGAATTTTGCTCATTTATTTTAATTTTTTGTTTGTTTGCCTGTTTCAGAAGTCAGAGTGCATTTTACTTCACTGTCAGAGCGCAGATGGTACTTTCCAGAAGTTACTTTTTGTTAATACTCCTCATAGCTTCCAGTTTGCCTTCCTGAAATGTTCTGGATAGTTTGGAAAACATTTATGATATATTCACAGAACTTACAACTTACTTTCCTGGGACTTAGAAAGAAATTTTTGCAACCAGGCGGATTGTAATCTGATACTTTCCTAAAATGTTAGTTTTCTGTTTACTTTCAAGACTTTTTTTTTTTTTCAAAATTACTAGTGATTTTCTGCATCTTTATGAAATATACAACGTTTTTCTGGAACATTACAAGTTGCTTTCTAGAACTTGGAGGTTCTTTTTCCTGGAAAACACAAAATTTTTTTCGAAACATAAACAGTATTTTCAGGGGAATGGGTTTTAATATGAGCTCAATTGTGACATGATGCTTTCCAGATCTTTACTTTATGGGACTTATCGTTCACTTCCTGGAACTTTGACAAACTTTTCAGAACAACGGATAAATTCTGGGACTTTTGAGATTCGACTGAATTGACTGTTAACTTAATTCATTGTTAATAAGTAAAAGTTTAAACTTTTGTGAAACATTCAATGAACAAAAATCATTTTTGGTTTCTGTGTAGATGTGGAAGTCTCACTTTAGTCTCTGCAGCGTTGACATCTTTGGCAACACTCTCAGCAGATTTTCGATAGATTTCTCAGCGAATGAGCATTGAGTAAACCTAAAACACAGAAGATCATAAATATGCATCTGCACACTCATGTTATGAATAAAAAGCTCATGGATACGCAATCATTAAGCTCACTCTAGCTCCAAACTGGTGCGACACTGGACCAGTTTCCTGCACACTTTGTTTACATCTGACACTGTCAGGGATCTTCTGTTAATTCTGAAAAACACAAAAACAAACTCTAGTAATTTGTTCCTTTAAATGGTTGCAAAACTGTGCTTCAGCTGACTGTACCTGAATAACTTTGTCCTTAGTTTGCTGTTACTAAAATGAGAGAAAAGTAAGTATAGTATATTCATTTTAAACTGTAAACCTTTATAGTAAATATAAAATATTTTACTGGAAATTTTTTTCTACCTTGTGTCAGAGCTGAACTGCAGCATCACCTGGTCTTTTCCTCCATCACTTCAAGAGCAGAAAAACAAATAATGCAGTGATTTTATGTTATAAAAATAGTTATTGAAAACAGATCAAATGGAGAGCCATTATGCAAACTTAAAGTTTTTGTACTTTCATTTGGAGTTCTAGTGCTTCTAAAAACAGAAAAATGCTTTAAATAAAACCATGCAGCTATTTTTTGGCATTGTTTAATGACAGGTTGTTGTCATTAAACAATGACAACAAAAAACATTAATGTTTGATGCTTCAGATAAAATCGAAAATTAGACGATACCTGATGTAAACGTGCGTTAACCTGTTGCTGGAGCATAATGCATCCGCCAGCATGACCACTCCGTCCACCGAGACGTCATTCCCACTGAAACTGAAAAACACAGAAATCATGGTGAATCATGAAACCAAACCACAGAGGTCACAACATGAAACCTGTTCAGAACCGGTTTGGTTCAGCCCTGGGTTTCCTTCCCATTGTTTATGCAACAAAACCACATAGAATGAACATGAAGAATATATGGGGCCTATTATTCAAAATCTACATTTTGCACATTTTTGTACTTCCATTTGGGTTTTACTGCTTTCTAAAAAACAAATCAAGCATTTAAAAAAAAAACATCCAGCTGTTTTTTAGTAAAACGTTATTGCTTTTTGGTGTCTGGAAAATGAACTGTTTCAAAAACTTTCTGAATGTAGTCACTGAGCCGTTACCTAGCAACCCCAGCCACGCCCCTTTACCTAGCAACCCACATGCAACTCCAGCACATTTATTTGGTCAGGTGGTTTTACCGCTGGAAAAGCCGGGGTGGAAGGGAGTGGGAAATGTTTTAATTTTTTGCTGGCTGCGCTGGAGGCTCCACTTCTGCTTTTCAAAGATGTACAGTTGCATAATTGCACATCTGTTTGCAGTCATTTTGAGCAGCTTAGTTGGATGCAAAGTGACAGAGTTAAAACAGTTAATTCTGAAAGGAGCTCAAAATAGTTAGAACTGATCAGACTAAAATCTTTAAGATTTTGTGCAAAAAAAAATTTAACAAACTTGTTTTGTACAACCCATAAATCTATCCCAAACTTTTCAAGGAAGCACAGCAGGTCACTCTGAAGCAAAGATGAAACTTCACTCATACAACAAATTCCTAGTATTTATATCCAGTTTACAATGAAGCTACCCAGCAGATTTGCAATGTCCTCAGATTAGCTCATTAACTTACTCTACTCGTTGGATTTTGCTTAGACGAGGCAAGAAGTCCAACAACTTCTTCAGTCCTTTGTCGCCTAACTTGTTGCAGGACAAGCTGAAAATAATAAACAAGAGGCAGTAGTTATTTTTGATGTATTCAGTGGAACCTTGTTGGTTTCTCGTTTTATGTGTTTTTGAGTCTTACTCCAAATCAGAGAGATCAGACGACGCTCCCAAACTTCTCCAAACTCTTTCCAGGTCGATGGGCTGAAGATTACAGCAGCTGAGGCTGAAACAGGAAGCAGATTTAAGTTTTTATTGTCAATAGACGGACACTACATGCATGCTCAGCATGAGGGATTGCTGCATTCACACCTCCCTAAATGAACCAGACTAGAGTTGGATTACAGCAAACTAAACAGTGAAGATGTGAATCCTCCCTAAACGTTGTAGGACGGTTGCTTTCAGTGATTGGAGTCGGTCGTCTGTGAACTAAAATCACTAAACCTCCATTAGAGGTAAACCCAACTCAAAAACAGCTATGCCTATCTAATGTTCAGGTAAAATAGTTAACACTTAAATAATAATAAATATATATTGTTCTGAAATTAAATCTCCATACAAACCAGAGTGTTTTAGAGGAAACATTTGCAGTTTTTTCTCTCCCTCCAGAAAACACAACAGACACCTGGACTGGATCCTGCAGCCTGAGAAGTAAAGAAAAGTAAAGTTTGAGCAGCAACAACACCAGATTATATGAAACTACTTCAGGTCTGTGATCTCAGATTACAGTTAGCTGCATTGAAACCTGTTATGGGTTAACTCAAACACGATGTAATGTGATTCCACATTTAGTTAGTGCAAAAAGTCATTTTCTGTACCTGATGTTCATCTCCATGACAGACAGACAGTCAGAAAGCAAAGCGGTGAGAATCACCGCACTCTGAACTGACGAGCAGCTGTCATTCAATCTGACAGGAAACAAAAAACAACAAAACGCTGCTGTTTATTTCCATAATTATCATGTATGTTGTTCTTACTGAATGGAGTTTTGACTTACATGATCCTGTCAGTGATGCTGAAGTTTGGCACAAACTGAGTTAGCATTTTTAAAGTCTCCTCATCCCACTCGCCTCCAGACAGACTGAAGAAAACAAACAGACAGCAAGTCAAACTCAACAAGTAAGAGCCCTGGACACACAGTAGGGGTGCACAGATTGCAGTTTTCTAGCCAATCGCAGATTACTGATTTTAAAAAGCCTGAGCCGATTTTGGCCGATACCAATTCTTTTGACTGAAATGTTGCTAAATATAGCAAGAAAGTTGCTGAGTTGGCAACAGTAGAGTGACTATTGTTAACTGCAAATGTGCAGACGTGACCTGGTGGGCCGGTCAGTCAGACTTTGAATCAAACCTCCTTAGGTTACATTTTTCTAATAAAAAAAATCATCTGTGTGTCTGAGGTTACTCACTCCAGCTCAGACAGGGAGGGACAGCGAGCCAGCGACCTGGCGAGGTTCTGCATGCCAGACTTAGTCCACTTCTGGTTCAACAATCTGATCAAGAAAATCTGAGTTTAATACAAATAGGGTTGTCCCCAAGTAACTGCATTGCTTTTTACATCTATGTGTTGTTTTCAGACTCTCTCTGCTCCAGATTCACAAAGCAAATAGTGCTAAAATCCACCTGCACAAACATGTCGACTAACTGCAGCTGGAATGTAATGTACAACGTACAAAAGGTGCTGTTTTTAAAAAAATCTGATTATTTTACTCTGGATATAATTTCATTAGCAATTGAAAAATAAAGTTTTCAACCAAATCCTTGCATAATGTCTCATTAGGAGAAAATTAAGTGGATGGATGAACAAACTGGTTTAAATAAATTAAACTACAGAAACATCGTACCTCACTGTTGCTTCTGGCTTAATTTTATGGCTGCAAACAGAAAAACATTTTATAAAAGGTTAGAACTTCTTAAAGTTAATGTCATTATTTTATTTGCTGATTATGAAACTCACCTGTTTGATTCAGATTTTTGAGAAAAAGTCAGAGTCAACTCTTTGATCCCGCTACAAGAACGGAGACAAAAAATCTGTTAAGATCACTAATTGCTTTCTTTGAGGCTTAACGCTGCAGTACGCAACTTTAATAAACATGTTTTTTACATATTTGTTAAAACTGTCATAATATCATGACAGTATAACAGGAGACAAGCTCCTCTGCCTTGTCCCTGCGGTCCTACTGCCATCTGCAGAATCCTAATTTGGGTAAAAATGCACTTGTGTGTGTTTTGTGTTTTTTCTTACTCTGCATGAACCTGCTGGATGTTCGAGCAAGAAGAGACGTGTTTAACAAGACACTCTGCTGCTTCCAGAGAAGTGTTGTTTCTTCCCAGCCTGCATACACACACACACACACACCCACACACACACACATGAATATAACAAAAGACATGGAGTCTGCTACTGCTACGTTAGAAAGCCTGAACGTTTATGAGCAGAGCCGACTTACTTTACAGATGCCAAGTTTTGTAGTTTGGCAAGAACGTCCGCAATGTGTCGGATTCCTTCGTCTTGCAAATTGTTGTCACTAAAACTAAAGCAAAAAGTAGAGAAACATTCTTCTTATCAACTGTCACCTATGTTCAGCTGTAATATGAGATATTTTATCTTGTAAATTTACTTGAGCTCAGTGACGCTGGGACAGTTCTGCAGACCGGAGGCCAAACTCGCAGCTCCTGCAGAACTCAGACTGGCACCACAAAACCTGGTGAAGAAACAAATCAGATTTAAAAAGGAAAAACTACAGATTACTCAGATTATATTCTGAGTAAAGTATGGAGCAAAAACCCACTCTAGTTTCCTCAGCGCTATGAATCGAGGTAGAACGGAGGAAAGCTTCTCTGCAAACTTATCACCATACTTGCGGCTCCGAAAACTGCAATGAAATAAAAAGGAAGTTTGAAAGTGTTACATGAAAATATATAATAAACACTGTAATGTACGAAGTTGTGTTGTGTTAAAACAGTAGAGTCCAAACTTTTTGCCTTGAAAATTTTAAGCACTGGCAGGCCATAAAATTCATTAAATTAAAAATTAGTTTATTGTGATTTTTTCTACTTTTTTTGTACAGTTTTACCTATTTTTTATTAAATCGTTATATTATTAAAGAGCCAAAACAAGGAAAGGGCTTGACTTTTTAAAAGAAAAACTGAGAATTTCCCATTGTTTGGGGTCATCACTTGTTTTACATTTTTCTGGCCAAATACTGTACTTGTGGTTAAGGCCAAACAAAATCATTTCAAGGGCCACAAACGGCCCGTGGGCCACACTTTGGACACCTCTGTGCTAGAGGCTTTCATAATATTTTCATATTAAATCAGCCTTTGAGGCTAAACCTGCCTGAAGGAAGCATGGCTGCATTGTTCTCATGTATCTATGATTTATTCCCTTCATGATAACATCTGCCTGAGCTTGTCTCTACATTCAGTATCTCAGGTTATTTGAATTTGATTATTTAAATTCACCAAACCGTGTGTGAAACAACATGCTGAAGTTAGTTCTGTAGAAAACTGTGTTCCCAAAAGACAAAATTATTTCTGCTGGATCCTCATAACTCTAATCTATAAATTTAAACTACTGTTAATGCTTTCTCTCTGCAGGACATTTCCATATGAATCTGATTGTAGTCAAAGTGCATGCGTCTGAACGGATATGTTGCTTTTATATCCATGATGTGAGACATGCGAACTGTGAGCATGAATTAGTTTAGTTTGAATGTGTTTTAATGTGTTTGTACCTGAGGTAATGAATATACTGACACCTGGACAGGATGTCCAGACACTCCAGCTCCATCGAACAGGCGCCGAAGTCCAAACCGACATCTTTGGTACCGACCGAGTTGACCACAAACGCCAGCGCCTCGATGTCACTGGTTAACAGCCAGAAGTTTCTGAGCTCCAGCGTGGGTCGCACCCTCACCACCTGCTGAGCCAGCTGCTGGTTCTGGCTCTCCTGAACACAATGGCAAAGCTGCAAAATCTGTCGCAACACAAGAGCAGAAAGTCATTAAAAAGAACCGAAATCTGAATTTCATGAATCAGGTTTTGGTTTTTTTAAAAATCACCTTCGGTCCAGTCAGAGAGGCACTGCGGCACAGAGCTTCCAGTAACTTTAGGACAAGGGCCTGGCGTTTCTGGACCCAGTTTTGGGCTGCTTTTAACCCTGTTGCCTTGGCAACGACCTCCAGAGCTGGAGTGCAGTCCGACGAAGCCAGACCACAGACGTACAGGTAGAGGGAATCAGTGAATACTGTCTTCTGGTCCGATTTAGTCGTCCAGCGAGTTTTCAGACTGAATCTGAGAGAGCAAACAGGGAATATATATGTTTGTTTGGCCATCCGGGTCATAATGGCATAAAGTGATAATTACTGGAAGACACTATTAATCTATTTTTTATTTTATTTTTATTTTAACAAGCAATGTCTTCTGTCATTTTGCCTCCTTTTTGCACAGTCACAGTCATTTAGCATGCCAGTTTGCACCTGCTATTCAAATGTGCACATTAAAGCCACAGAAACAGCACCTGCTACCTAATTCTAGCTTAATAAATCTCATTTCAGGTGATAAGCTATTACATTTGCATATCCTCCTCCAATTATGTTGATCTTTCTGATGATCTACATATATTTTGCATATTCATGAAAGCAAACATGCTGAATGAATTTGCACCTGCTATCTACACCTGGTCTGTAGATCAGATTTGTGCATGATACCAAATTTGCAAACAAACTTTATAAAGGTCTTCATGCTCTTTATGTTTAATGTCATAGCTGTGCCGTTCAATGGGGACGTAGGAATGTAAAATATATTTTTCCTACTTCTTCTTCAGGTCTGCATCACTGACATCACTGCTTGTCATGATCCTGAGTGCAGCCAGAAACTCCTGCACTGTGAGATGCAGGAAGCAGTAAGCGTTGACGACACCGCCACCACGACCTCTGACCTCCATCTGACAGGGAGAATCACATACATGTCGGTTTATGGTCTGAAGCTATGACACTGGAGCTAAAATGCATTAACAATGATTTATGACATGCTGAACATAATGTCTGCAACAGTTTGAACAGGAAGTTGTCATGGCAATTAAAAGGTTTTTACTACCAACTCGTCATTTTAAATGTTAACATTTAGTTTTTTTATTGATTAGTCATTTGTATCATCCACTTCCTCTAATTATAACCACCAACTGACAAAGTAGCAACACTGTTCACATGGTGAAAGAACGTGTAATAAGGAAGCTAACAAAAAGAGTGAGTAAAGAATATGGATTTAAACATTTTGTAGCTTATACCTCCCAGTAAAAGGAGCAAAGTTACATTTCTCAGGAAAAAAACACAATATTACATCAGACATACAGGTGCTGGTCATAAAATTAGAATATTGTGATAAAGTTCATTATTTTCCATAATGTCATGATAAAAATTAGATTCATTGCACACCAACTGAAATATTTCAGGTCTTTTATTGTTTTAATTTTGATGATTTTGGCAAACAGCTCTTGAAAACCCAAAATCCCTGTCTCAAAACATTAGAATATTATGAAAAGGTTCTCTGAACGAGCAATAAAATAAAAATAATCATCTGAATCAACAAAGTAACTCTAAACACCTGAAAAGGATTCCTGGGGCCTTTAAAAACTCCCAGCCTGGTTCATTACTCAAAACCGCAATCATGGGTCAGACTGCTGACCTGACTGCTGTCCAGAAGGCCATCACTGACATCCTCAAGCAAGAGGGTGAGAAACAGAAAGAAATTTCTGAACGAATCGGCTGTTTGCAGAGTGTTATATCAAGGCACCTCAGTGGGAAGTCAGTAGGAAGGAAAAAGTGTGGCAGAAAACACTACATAACGAGAAGAGGTGACCGGACCCTGAGGAAGATTGTGGAGAAGGGCCGATTCCAGACCTTGGGGGAAGCAGTGGACTGAGTCTGGAGTAGAAACATCCAGCACGTGAATGAGTGAATAAGTCATTAAAAACCATGCCATGTCATCCTAACACTTCCTGTCGTCTTCTTCTTTGTGGTTTTCATCAGTGGAAACGTGACACATGATGCGAAAAGTGTTTCCATTGACGTTTTGTGAAATAAACCAATTTTAATACAGCAAATAAAACCACATAAAACTTTTCAGTAAATCAAGTAAGACTTTTATATAAAAATTGTTGGGGGTTTTTTTGTTTTGTTTTGTTTTTTTCAAAATTGGGGTTTTTCCATTAAACAAATTTATTTTCAAAATGTCAAATTGTGCAATTTTATGGTCAATGGAAATGCTGATACAGTTTTCAAAATAAGGCTCCCCTTATAGATGGCTAATAGTTCACATATGTGTTATTAATTAATCTCTGAGCACTTTGTAAATAATTAATAACTGTTTATTATGCATTAATTAAGGGTGAGAAGGAGATTAAATCTACCAGTTTCTTGCCAAATAGTGAGTCTGTTCACTTATATATTTTATCTAGAGTTGAATTTCAGACTACTTTGTAACCATAATAAGCATTTGTAAATGTATTTTTTTTAGCATGCACTCTCCTTCTCCCCCTTAGTTAAAGCATAATAAGTTATTAATAATTTATAAAGTGTTTATAGATGAACTGATAACATATCTATAAACTATTTATTAGCCCTGTTGTAAAGTGGTGCCAGTTTTGTGCACATTTGTAATGGAAAAGCTCCAGAGAAGTGAAACCATGTCTGACCTGTGAGAAGAGTCCTGACTTGACTGAAGACTGTAAAGTTTGCAGAGGAACGTCTTCATCCAAAAAGATAATCCTGCTCTCCTCCAAACCTCTCCACGCCACCCGACTGAGCTCACACAGCTCAGCAGCAGGAAGACTCACAGTTTTCCATGCAAACTTGGTACTGCACAAAGAAACAAATACAAATTTGCTGACAATATAATACAGACCAAGTGTAGTTTTATAGAGATTTTAACTAAAAACCCAATGTTTTGTTTTAGTTTTTGTGTTGCTGTGTTTTCTAATCCTCACCTTTGAGAAAATCCTGAGATCTCTGCTGCGTTATTTCCTCCGGTCCGATCAGTGTGCCGGTTAAGAAATGCAACAACAGCAGCGAGGTAGATCTGAGTCTGGGTTGAAGGGATTTGTGCTGATGTGAAAGAAAACATGGATCTGCTTTTTGCTCCATCCATTAATGTCTCCTCACTGTTTTCACCATGTTGTGCTTTTTGGGAGCGACTCTCATTGCCACCCATTCCATCAGGAGTTTGTGCGTCTTTTCTCTCTATTTCTAGAGGTTTTTTCTTTACTCCAACTGCTTTTTCTCCAGGCACCTTTGTCTTTTCTGCATGTCGGTGCAGTGAATGCTGCAGAAAGACGCAGCAGATGTTGCAGAGGGCCGGGAGGGAAGACATGGCCAGGAGGTGTCGGCTGGAGAAGAGGATTTCTGCTGCATTGGCTGCAAGATTTCCATCTGAACATCAGAAAGGAGAAAATAACAAGTTAAGCAGCAGTAATGTTTACTGAATAAAACCGATATTAATGCACTGATATTTAAGAACTGATGAGGCCTTTCAGATACAAGGATATATTTGGAAAAATCTTTGAATCTTTGGAAAAAGACTTGAGCAGATTTGCTTTAGAATAAGTTAAGGTCTGGTTTCTGTAAATGATAAACTAATAACTAATTTGTGCAGCAGAAACACTTATTTCACTCAGTAATATGCAAAACTATTGTCAACTTTTATCTGTTGCATTTTTTCCCAATTATTTTCTTCATAATTTGTAGCTTTACATTTAAATAAAATGTTAATAAAATGTATATCTATTTTAAAACTTTGCTGTTGATCAAATAACTAATTCTCTCACAAGGATAAAAAAAAATAGGAAATTTGGACAGTAGTAGTAGGTAACTCTTATTTTCTGTGTTCATTTCTCAAAATGTCAAGGTTATCTAGTTTCTAGTATAAATATCTTAGTACACTTAATGCAAGACAAAGTTAACTTCAAAGTTACTTTTAGCCAGAAATAACAGGTTGTTTTAAGTCAATAAATCCTTAATATTGATTATAATCAGTACTGTTTCCATTGGCAGATTATTAAACTTATAACAAGACATTTTCCCATATTATAAGTGAAATAATTTGCCACTGGAAGTAGAACATTTTCATCAATATTAACAAATCATTGACTTAAAACAAACTGCTATATCTTGCTGAAAAGGTATCAGTTAGTTTTGTCATATAAGAAGGTACTAAGATATTTGTACTAGAAACTAAAGGAAGCGTACTGGGTAAGAGTTTGTTTCTGCAGTGTAGAAGTAAATCCCTCATCATGTTTCCAACTCTAGTAGAATGAAATGAATTAATATTAACCTTTTCCACTAAAGAAGTTGTTGACACACTCTTTGATTTCACGGTGGTCCCACGGCAGCAGCTGCCCCACTTTGTCGGACAAACCGTCCAGATCTACGACGTCGCGTACTCGACTGGTGACCAACACGGTGCTCCCTGCGAGAAGCCGCCGGCTCAGTAGCCCTGAGATGAGCTCTGCCACAGGCCGAGGTTTCTCTGAGTCCAGACGCTCATTCTGAACCCTGTGTCTCTTTAGTTTTTTCTGGAACTCATCGTAACCGTCCAGCACCCAGCAGCTCTGCTCTGGATTGGAAAGGAGGTAGTCCACAACGGCCTGCTGCTCCAACAAAGAAAAGACGGTCATTCTTAAAACATTTAATCTGCTGTTTACTGCGTTCAAACGGTATTTGAGGTGTTGTGGTACCTTTGCTTCATTGTCTCCATTAGTTGGGAGGTAGTGGTGAAACAGCAGCTCAGAGAGGGAGAGAGGGTCCGACAGGAGGTTGAGCTGACGAAGCTCCAGCAATACAAACAGATGGGATGAAGGGATGGGGCCCTGGATGACATGAAACATTTAAAAACCTCCCATTACGGAACAGGACATATAAAAACTGTCATCTTACTGAAGGAACGCCACAAAGCATTGCTTAATGGGTGAAGTAAAAATAAACTTAGAAAACTTCAGTTATTTTTGTGTGAAACATCATCTAAACCTTTTTAGAATGAAAAACACAATGAAAATAACAACTACAGCAAACCGAGCCGGAGAGAGAAATTTAGTTTTACTTTCATTTCAGCAAAAGTCTACAGCAAACAAACTGCAGATAGGCGGTTATATCCAAATGAATGTGTTTGCAGTTTTTATCTGGTACTTTCCACAGGGGCAAGTTGGGCAACTTTTTTAATGTAATTTTATTTTCTGTTTCATTCCCCCTGCAGGGCATTTGACTGGATTTATGGTTGGGCTGCTTTCACAAAGAATCCACAAATAAAAAGAAAAAAATCCTGCTTTTTATCCCTGCAAATCATTTTTATTTTCCATTTCTTATGTCTTAATTGGTCACTGAAAGAAAATAATTCTGACTTTAATCTCAGAATTTCTATTCTGAAATTTTAAAAATGTCAGAATTCAGTATTTGAACTCAGAATTTGACATTAAACTCAGATTATTTTTATTTTAATCTCAGATTTCTGACATTTCCCATAACTCAGAAGATTAAAGTCAGAATTCTGAAGAAAAAAAAATCTAAATTCAGTTGTTTTTTTTCCAGTGGCTCTAATCCTCTTCTGTAGTATTGATATTCCAGCAGCTCAAGAAGGACTTCATTTTAAATGCACATTAGTCATTTATAGTGAGTAAAATGAGAAAATTGAACTTACTAATCCTTTCGTCCACTGTTGCCCGATAAAAGACATCAGCAGAGTTTTTCCTGAGCCAGGTTGGCCGGCCAAAACCGTCACTTTTCCTGTGCATCCCTGAAGAAAACTCTCCAGAGTCAGTCTGGACTCTGGCCACCCGTCATCACCTTCAGGCTCTACAGTTGGTGAAAAATGATTGAGGGATTAATTTCAATAAATGTGGATTACTTTCACTGATTAAGAAAGGAAGCAGGAAGTCAGTCCTGACCTGGTGTTCTGCCGCCTCTCTCTGCAGAGCTGGGAGTCTGATCCGGTCTGTCCCTGGCTCTGTTTGCAGTTCTGATGCTGACCCAGATTTTGTCCGGCTGCACATCCTTCAGCAGGCCCTCCGACAGCCGCCTCCACCTCTGCTGCAGGGAACCTGCTGCTTCAGCCTTGTACTGCTCCCAGTAATCTGCAGGTAGATTTAATTTACGAAACAAGCTGATCATTTAATAAACTGCAGGATCCAAACATACGACTGCAGTTTCACTTTCAGTTCTTTGGCCTTGAGGCAGGCTGGATTCTCACACGTCTCTGCTTGAAATCTGAGTTAAAACCGATAATATAATGTTCAACAAAAATAAGCAGAAGTTTACAGGTTTCAAAGCATTTTTCTTTAGAATGTTAAGAGCCACAACTTTATTACTTACCGTTTTAAATTCTTAATATTTGTGTTAATAAAGAGTAGAATATACCAGAATGGTTGTTCTAAGACCTCATACTGACTGTTCAAAATCCAAAATAGCCTTTTCATGTCAACTAAAAACATTGAGACAGAAATTCATAAATTATTTTGGTGATG